AGATGTAGAGTATATATACCACTTTTTAGGGATTTGCCGGGGAGTTTTCTTGACTCGTTAGCTTGAATTTGGTTGCGACGATGATACCTTGCTCTGATGATGTTCGTCATATGATGGACGAAAGCTTAACATTTTTTCACCGGAATTGAAGGAGATTACGTCGGAAACAGCGTCATCATGAATCTTCAATTAAAGCCAATCGACAGCTGGTCAAGAGGAATCCGCCGTCGTCTTTTGGTGGAACCGATCTTTGAATCTATTCACCCAACACTTTCATTCGAAATGGAAGTAAGTTCATATTTCTGTCAAATATTCGCTCAAGTGAGCACAGTCAATTATCCGTATTACCGAGGTCTACACACAGCACTTCTAGTGCTGCATATCTTCCCTACTTCATATCGCTTATCTACCTATTCACACTATTCTGTTCTCTCGTTTCTTCCAATGTCGCTAGAAGTAGGTTTAGTAAAGCTTAATTATCTCCAATGGTACCAGGTACCATTTAACACCTGATCTTCATTTTGCTCCCTTTTCTCCTACTATTCTTGTCACTCGGTCGCAGCTAAACGTCAAAATACTTATGCTGCCATTGCATAATCTGTCGAAGAATATACTGAGGAAGTGGGACATCAGGAATAGTTATAAAAAGAAAATTACACTTTCCTCTGTATTGCCTTCTTTTCGAGTATACCTTGACTTTCTTTCCAGATCGTGCTGTTTCAAGATTTTGTTTTCATACGGTAGCGCCTATGTGAGAGATACCTGTAGGCCCATACATAAGAGGTTGTCTTTACACAAAGCATGTCCATCTTAATGTCTGGGAATCTTCATTTCCCTAGGCTTTAAGCCCATGACTCGGTTTTACTCTTTCTCATCCCCACCCACATAATATCTCATTCTTTGGGGCCCTGTGTCAGGCTTAAGTCATAACTTCTGGTGTGCAAATCCACCGCTTCTCTTTTTCCCCTCAATCGCGAAAAGCACACCTCTCCTACCTCAAGTTGACACTTCCATCTAATCCTAATATGTTCTTGTGCATGTTGGTTGGTATATCCCATGAGTAATCATGTCACCATTCGCCTCATTAAGGCACGCACATCAAAAATGTACATATGCACACGTACTGGTGACTTATTTCTGACCCACCATTAGCTTTATTTTTTAACTTCTTATCCCGCATCCAACAGATGGAGCCCCCCGTATAAATTTTTTGGGCCGATTTCATGTTTGACTCCTCTCACTGAATTCGCCTTTTCTTGACTTCCCTTTGTCCCGCATAATCCTGGACATTTCCTGTTGTTGAATTGTTGTATATGGTCCAAACGTCTTCTTTTTTATGTCTTCGCTGAATCTCCAAGTCTGCTCAGGCATTATGCGAAATTATCGTTGACTATTCTCTCTTCCAATCTCCTATTTATCGGGTTACTTTGAAATAGGATGTCCACAGCTTCAAGAACTGTATACAAAAATACACCGGGGAAACTAGAAAGACAATCAACACAATGATCAAAGAACCCTAACGACTATGCAAAAAAATGATACAGAAAGATCGGAAATAGCTGAACACATCCTCCTTACTGATCACACAATTGTCTGCAGCACAACCAAAAGCCTGGCCTCATATGAGAAGGACATCAGAAAACGGAAGATCAGGGAAGCTGTGGGCATCCTCCTTCAAAGTAAGTCGATGAACAAGAGGTTAGAAGAGGGAATAGTCTGCGATAATTTCGCATACTGCCTGAGCAGACTTAGAGATTCAGCGAAGACATAAAAAAAAGACGTTTGGACCATGGACAACTATTCAACAACAGGAAGAGACATCACAAAGTTGGTTATCATGTGATACAAAGGGAAGTCTAGAGAAGTCGATTGCAGTGAGAGGAGCCTAACCTTGAATCAGCCTGGAGTTACCAGTGTGAGTCCACTTGCAAGATCGCGGATAGGAAATAATTGCTTTATTAAATTCATCAAGGTGTGGATACCAACCTGGGGTGCACAACATCAGTTGGTCCCCAGGGTGCGCACGTGTTTGTGCCTTAGTGAAAGTTGACTGGTAGCATGCCTGATTTGGGTTTGCCAATGTACACTTCAAAAATTGATAAGAGCCTTATGATTAGATTGGACTGTCCACTTTAGCGACAATTCGAGTATGCGTATGCGATTCAGTAGCAAAAAAATGGAAACGGTACATTTTTACACCTGCGTTTTTGAATTAGACATTTCTTATGGCCTTGAAGACTCAAGTTCTATGGGGGTGGGTATTTTAAAGAGGATACCTGGATGTGTGGTCTGAAGCCTATGAAGACGAAGATGCCTAGGTATGGACATAATCGATTATAACTCCTCGATCATGCCGTAAACTACGACGGGAATTGAAGGCACATAGGCAGCCAGATATAGGACATATAAACTGTGATTTTCGTGTGTAGCATTCACCAATTGAAAAGCAGAGTGAAAGGGAGGGGATTAAATTATGGTAAGAAGCCCTGCAAACGGCATCTTTCTTTGGTGGTGAAGATAATTACGCTTGTAGTGACATACTCATATGTGTCATTAAAGGAAATGACAACACATAATGGCGTGAATAGGTAAATTGGCGACATGAAGTGTGGTTGAGAGAAAGAGATGCAGCACTAGATGCTAGGGCGAAAATATGGGCGAAGAGTGATGCCACAACGGTTGAAAAGAAATACACTAGTGACGGAGCCTATTACAGGCTTTGTCAATTATGATCCTGAGGAAACCTCTGGCATCGTACCAAGTCAATAGGCCGATGCTAAAATCACAAATACCTTGATATAGGACGCTTCTCTAGGTACGTTCCTTAAGGTCTTTCTGAGGCTTCGACCAAGTCTAACCAGTACTATAAAGCTAAAGGATACTCTGACGAAACAGAACGTCATCATGTCTATGAACACAGAAATGACCTATGATATCGATTTATTTTTATCTCATCTGTTTTTTTACTCTAAACATGTATGCATTTATTAAATATTTTATTTCCGATTATGTTCATCTTAATTGATCTATCACTCTTTATATATTTTGAAATATTTTATTTATTATAATCTTGAAATTCAAAGGAATCGTCCGATGAGGCAACTTTGCTGAATGGAGATGGAACATTTGAACCTGCTACAGCCTCTTCTGCAGCCACCATGAACATTTCTTCTCATCGAGGCCCTCCGCAAAGCTGCATTACTAATAGCGGTGACGGTTCTGATGCCTGCGCTGATTTTGTTCCCATCACCATTGCAGGTAACAATAGTGGAAGTCTCCTTACCTCGACCACTGCCGTTACCACTCATTCTCCTCTGCAAAAGGCTCCCAAAAGGACAGGTATTAGCCTTCTTCGTGTCCGGCATCCTGTTTCACCAGGACTGACTGGCTCTTCGATCCCTTCTGCGACTGTGCCTGCTATATCTGAAGTCTGTATTCCACCAGCGTCTATCGGCTCTTTAGCAGGGTTTTCCTGTGAACTTGATCATATCGGGAGTTTACAATCGACTAGTTATGAATGGCCAATTCAACTCGATGGTTTTTTGGTTAAAGCCATGGCAGCCAGTGCAAGCACTCTACTCAGACCTGATGGAGTTGTAAGCTTCAATTATACCTAGTCTGATGTTATATTAATTTTCTTAAGCTTATATCTTAAACATTTTTCTCTACTTGCTTTCCCAAAAGTTAGTCTCATCCAAGATGGACTGCAGTTTCGACCTCGCCTAAGTTTTACAAACCCCACCAGCGGGACTCTAATCATGTCAATGCAGCATATAATCTTTAGACATTAACCATTATGACGCATTGCCACGAGTACCCTTGAGTCACAGGGCAGATATGAATTTCAAGGAAGACCGAAAATTTTCCCATATCACATTCTGTGATGAGATTATCAATCAGGCAAAGTTTTATTTGCTATAGCAATCGATTATATTACTTATGCTTCGCTTATAAGTCGGCTTTTCGAGACTACCGGCAGATCATTGATGTATGAATTGTTTCCGTCATTTTTCGTAAAAGGTGATACATAATATATATACAAAAGCATTGTTTTGATACTTTCATTTTGTATGAAGGTGTATGATGAAGATATTCGTAGGTCGATCCCAGCTGACGATGACCTATTTTCGTTGTACAGCAACCGGTTGGCTTGACTATGGCGCTCAGGTTGATGCATTACACGAGACATCCTTTTTCGTTTTGTCCGAATGATTTTACTATGTGATGTCGAAGTTGTCATAAATTTTGAATGAAAACACCTTTTGGAAGACAAACATGGGAAATTTAGAAGTAGTTCGACCTCGTTCTCGCAATTTGGTCTTGTTGTCAGAGAGACTTAGTAAAACGCAACTAGTCCGAAGTCGTCTGCTATAGTAGTTGTCATAATTCCCAGTATCAGACCATGGACTTGGTACATTCTCAAACGTTTCGCCGGCATCGTAGTCGGCATCATCAATGAGTGTTGCCATGCTCCGAAACAAGTCAATCCCTTGACAATCGTTTTGTCGAAAACGGTTACACTATCACTCCTCTTTCTGTCCTGGCCTATCTATTTCCTCTTATCCCACTGCCGCCCTATCACAACTTCTCACTTGTTTACATTCCACTCGTCAAAATGTGTGCCCTTTTGTGGAAAATCTAGTGTGGCCCCATAACACTTGATTTTTACCCCGACCCCTCTCTCAGGTTATCCGACTCGGGCCTCTAATCCGGATCCCTTCATTGTCTTGTAGATCCCTTCCTTATCTTTCTGGTTGACCGTTATCACTCAGTTCCAGTCCTTGTGTGCATTTCACGCCAGGCGCTATTTCTCAAGGCCCTAGAAGCACGTACAATGCCGCTTCACTGAGCAGAGCACCTAAGCTCTGATTCCCATGCTTGCAGATATCAGGCCTTCCCTCCACGGGTCCTCTCCTTCATTGAACCAATGTTATCTGAGCAAACTGTGGACGCCTATCTTTGGTCGCTTGCGGCATCTCAATTGGATTTCTAGTGCATTTTGGCCATAACGCCGAATTTCTTTGAGGGTTTGCTTATCCGTCTGCCCAGCTCCCCGACTGCCAGCCCCCAAAGTTGTACTGGTTTATTCGAAATGGAAATCACTCACTGAGAACGTCTTAGCTTTATTGCCCAAAACCTCTTCCCCCCACTTTCTTCCTCGCGATCCCTTTTCCTTCTTTTAACGATAGATCCTTGATCCAGGCGTCTTCTTTTTGCTAGTCTTGCTCCATTTTTATTTTCCCGAAGCTTGCTTTGGCAGTAGGCAAAGTTATCGCTAACTCTACCTTCCCCTAATCTCCTGTTCATTAAATCTTCCTCGCCAAGGATGTCAATAGCCTCCCTAATTTAGTGCTTCTCTGTGTTGTTAAGGTATAGAGCTCTTCTTTCTGCTGCCTTCCAATTGATCTCGTATCCAATCTGTGCGATGTGTTCCGCTAGTTCTGCTTCCGGTATCCATTTTCCTGCAGTCTCTGATGTTCCTTGATTCGTGTATTAATTTTTCTCTGTTTCCCCATTATATTTATGATCGCAGGCGCAGCATGATATACAGTAAACTTCTGAACAAACCAATTTGTCTACTCTTTCATGTTCCGTTGGTAGACTTGTGAAAAATGTTGATTTCTCCTTCATGACCACCTGAATAGTTCATTTACTCAATATTGGCCGTAGTTTTTGAGTTAGCTCGCAGGAAGTTAGGCTTGGTGCGGCGAATGGCAAAACTCACTTATGATGCTGACTACGATGCCGGTAAAACGTTTGAGAATGTACCAAGTCCACTGTCTGATGCTGGGAATCTTGACAACTACTATGGCAGACGACTTTAAACTATCTGCGTTCTACTAAGTCTTCCTGACAACAAGAACTAGTTGCGACAACGAGGTCAACCCATTTCTATAAATCGAAAGGAGGCCACAACACATTGGTCTTCATATATTTTAGATCAAATTGATGGAAAAATTTAATTCACGATGGAAGTAGAGGAAGGTGAGCGATTACAGTTCCTGGACTTTCAAGTGATTCCTTCTACTGGAACGCTCAAAAATAAATTGTTTAGAAAGAAGTCCTATGCTGGGATAAATTGCTGTGTCACTAATTGCTGTTACAAGCAAACTAAATAAAACAAATTTTCCTATTTTTTTCCTTATCCATTAAATACCAAGTTTGTTAACTCTGGATCTTTTTCATATGTTCACTACTCAAACAAATTCTTAGCCTAGTTTTTACTCCTTATTTTTAGCTTCACCAGGATACCGTTGATCAAGTTTCAAGGCACATCGATTCTGCTGAGTATCTTCCTGATGTATTATTTCTTGTTAATGCACTAGAGCCCGGTAGTAAGGTAAATTTTTGTATTGCTATTTTATCTTAGTTTGATTAGGGTTTTAATCAAACTCGATTGCTTTTGTTATTTATAACTTATTTATTTATTTATTTATAACTTCCCCGATTCTGCAATCTAATGAGGAAGTGTCATTCTGACACAGTTAATAAAATACTTTATCACGCCTCTATCCAGAAATTACGGGAAAGTTACGAGACTGAGAGGCGTAAGCTTTTTAAGTTCATAGATCTCAAGTCTAGATTAAGGAAGGATTTAGGTGGGGTTCTCACTTTGGATGTTTTTCCAAAACTCCAGAGCATGACAGACCACAGGGTTCTGGATCTGATAAATAAGAGGCATGACAAGAATTTGCTTAGCTATGGGATAATAAGACAGTGCAAGACCAAGCCAACCCGGCCAAATTTTGATGGTTCTTTATTGAAGGCATCAACTGCTACAGACGACGATAGAACAAAGGTAGTAAACCTATCTTCAATCCCTCTTGATTCTGAAACTACGGATCTCTTAGAGAAGGGGTTACATTTTTCACTAGGTAATGAAGGAAACGTTCTTAGTGATATTCTGGTTGAAGTTGTCAACATAGCGGATAAATATCCAGAAGATACAAGGCGGGAGATGAAACTGGAAATAATCCCACGGATCCTGAGACATCAAGAACTGATACACAGGATCAGATTGGCTGGTATTCGGAAAAAATTACGAAAGAATGATCAAATAGTTCTTGAGGCGGATAAGGAGTAGGCGACAGTTTCAATGGACAAGAAACAATACACGGAGAAAATGGAAAGTTTCCTTTGCGACCGGAATACTTATCAAATAATAAGGAAGGATCCAACCACGAAGATCAACGGTACACTGAAGAATATGCTCAAGGAAATGCATAATAATGGGGAAATTAAAAAATGGCGGATGAAATCTTTGATTAAAAATGTCGCAAGGCCACCGATAGCCTACGGACTACCGAAGATACCCAAGGAAGAAAATCCGCTAAGACTAATAGTCAACAACAAGCACAAAGCAATATACAAGCTGGCGAAATTCATTTGCTTTAAGTTCAAGAAAGGAAATGT